TTTTAAAAAAAGAATAAGAAATGAAGGTAAGCATTTGTCCTAGTAGTTAAGACACCACCTGGGACACCTGTACAGTCTTATATCATAGTGCCTGGGTTGGATCCTTAGTTTTGACTCCTGATTCGAGCTTCCTGATAAGGCAGATCCTGGGAGTCAACAGTGATGGCTCAAATAGTTGGATTCCTGCTATCCACGTTGGAGATCTGGATTGAGTTCTCGGCTCTAGGCTTTGACTTAGCTTTGGCCTGGCCCAGTTCCAACCTGTTGCAGGCATCTGGGGAAATAAGTCAGTGTTATGGAAGCTCTCTATCCATTTGTCCCTCTACCTTTCATTTAGATTTCTTAAAAAATTTTAGAAAAGAATAAAGAAATGAATGAAAACTATGGATTTCTAAAATTTTGGAAGAAATAATAATTGAATACCGGATCTCTAAAATAACCAAACGGAACCACAGAGGTAGATTTAATTAATATTTATTTTTGCATGTATTTAATCATCTAATGGAAGATACATTCCTGAAATCATTAGAAAAGTATTCAAGAACATAAAATGAGAGAACCTAAAAATAGATGGTTGTCAAGGAAAATGGAATATGCTCTTAAATTTAATACATATAAATATATTACCTATGTAATTCTTTCAGGTCATATTCATCTACTTATTTAATTATGTACATTTAGAAAATTGTGGGGTTTAAAAAACTCATTGCTATTATCTTAATTATTTTAAGACAACATGCGTCCAACAATCATCAGAGATATAACCTAATTTCATAGAGAAAACTTGAGTAGAATTTTAACTGAACAGCAGACTATCAGATCATACATTTTCACTGGCAGTTATTTGATTCAAAGTCAAATTTTGAATCTTTCCAAAGATGAGATTCTTACGGACATCTGGTTGACCTTTTTCAACCAGATCTACACATATAAACTTTTTCCCTATAAAGAAAATTTTATAAGACAGTGCCTCTTCCATATTTATCAAAAGTCTAATTTTAGAATAAGCAATCATGAAGCTAGCACTGTGGCATACTGGGTAAAGCCGCCCCGTGCAATGCCAGCATCCCATATGAGCACTGCTCCACTTTCAACCCAGCTCCCTGCTAATGCTCCTGGGAAAGCAGCTGGATGGCCCACGTCTTTGTGCCCCTGCACCCATGAGGGAGACTCAGAGGAACCTCCTGGCTCCTGGCTTCAGCCTGGCCCAACCCTGGCCATTGGGGTCATCTGGGAGGTGAACCAGTAGATGGAAGGTTTATGTCTCTCGCTCTTTCTCTGTAACTCTTTCCAATAAATAAAAACAATTTTTTAAATTATCCTTTAATAATCCTTTCTCTTTTAATGAAAAAGACTAGGTCACTCTTATCTGCCATAGTGTCTCTCAAAAGAGTAAATGGTGACAAATTCCAAGGCAAGGGCCTACCAAGCAGAGAAAGACTTTCAATAGCCCTCCTTCTTCAAAGAACACCTTGGTCAATGGACTTAGAAGCATGTAACCCTTCCCATATGGTTTGGTAGAAAAGTTCACTCCCCTAGAGCATTTTCTTCCATTCAAAACTGAGGCCTTTCTGTGTATTTCCTAAACATCCATAATATGTTAGGCAGGAAACAGAAAACTTAGTTAACAGACTTGGTATTTAAAGCAAAAAACGAAACAAGTAGGCAAACATTTTAAAGACCTAATCTATATGTATATTCCTACACTTATTTATTTTAAAACACATGAATAATTTACACTGTTCCAATTAGTCAAAAATTTTAGAAAAATCAGAATGAATATTTAAAGCATTCAAAGCTTTAAAATTTAGGAACTTCAAAAAGCACATTCAATGCGATAATCATTTATAGTTATGGACTTTGAACCATAGATAGTTGGAGCTCAAAAAAAAGTTATTTCAACTCAGGTTGTGCTTAATCAGCAGGTTCACTGCTCATGAATATTGAAATCATAGTGCTAGAAATGACCAGATAGAGTCATTCAAAGCATTTTCATTGTGAAAATACATCCTGTTTCTTAAAAATCTTTATGAAAAGTTCAGATACCCACTAGGAAACTTCTTATAGCATTTAATTAAAATATTCTCAGAAATCTTTATTCTTACTCTAAATCTCTCATTTTGTGATTTAACATATTTCATATTCTATTCTGAGGACATATTAGAATTGAGTGGCTCCTACCAGGTAGTAAAACTTTATGATGAAGCTGCCTTGCTCAAATCTGTGTGATTTTGGCAAAATTTTATCTGTGAGATGAATAAGATAGAATACTTCAGACTCAGACCCTAAGCTATATGCTTTTAGTATATAATCTGTTGCATCATTCAGTAGTGGGGAATGGATGATTTAATCAATGTGTGATCAGAACAATTAGAATAATAATTAGTATTCTCTCCCATTTTATACCAAAATTAATTCCAAATCATCTACAGAATTAAATATAAAATAATGAAATTATAAAATATATAGAAGAAAATGTAAGTGAATATTTAACAGATTTATAATGAAAAAACTAAGATATGAAAGTAAGGAAGAAGTCACAATAGATTCCACTAAATAAAAGCAACAATTAAGCCTCTGGATAAAACATGCCACACACTAAAGTTAAAACTTAAAAATCATATGGAAACATATTTTTGACTAATTCAAGAAATAGTGTATTACTATACTTAATGTAAAAAAAAATCTTTCAGTTTTGGTTTGGTTGAGAAGAACATAAACATCCTAATGGAAAAATGAACAAATAACATAAGGAGGTAAAAAAAATCTGTCAGGAAATGTATAAAAATATATATAAGTTCACTAATAATCAAGTAAATATAATAGCTCCTGTCTATCAAGTTAGCAAATTTAACAAAATAGTAATGTAACATTGTCATGCATGTGATAAGATAGGCTCTTTAATACATTAGTGATAGGAATTTTTGAGATTGGGAACTTATGGGGGAAGGGTGGGAAATAACACTTTTTATCAAATTCCTAAAAAATATTCAACTTAAGCCAGAGATCTACTCCTTGGAATCTAGCTAAAGAAATAAATACCGGGGCCACCACTGTGGTGTAGCAGGTAAAGCTGCTGCCTGCAGAGCCAGCATCCCATATGGGGGCCGGTTCGAGTCCCGGCTGCTCCACTTCCAGTCCGGCTCTCTGCTAGGGCCTGTGAAAGCAGTAGAAGATGGACCAATTCCTTAGGTCCCTGCACCCACGTGAGAGACTCAGAAGAACCTCCTGGCTCCTGGTTTCATGTCGGCTTAGGACCATTGCAGCCAACTGGGGAGTGAACCAGCGGATGGAAGACCTCTCTCTCTCTTTCTTTCTCTCTCTCTTTCTTCCTCTCCTTCTCTGTATAACTCTGACATTCAAAGAAATAAATAAATATTTTTTAAAAAAGAAAAGAAATAAGTACCACAATTTGTGTAAAAGAAAAAATCAATACAATGTTACTCATAATTTTGAAAATAAACTAAATATTCCATAACAGAGCAATCAAATGAATTTGCTTATAGCTCTACAATGCAGTCATTAAAAATCTTATGTTTGAAGGATATATAATATTTGAGGAACAAAAGCAGATCTCAAAACTCTATAACATTTTTCACATTACAATTTTGATATTGGGATTACACTTTTAAAAGTATCCTTGTTCACTCTGACCTCAGAATCAGCCCTTAAGGCATTCAGATCTGGCTAAAAAGCCCATGAGACTTTCTCAGGCATGGAAAACCAAGATACTCTGGCAAAAAAAAAGACCTAAATGAAAGATCTCTGTGAGTGAGATCCCAGCGGAAAGAAGGGGCCATCAAAGAAGGAGGTAATTTTCTCTGAAGGGAGAACTTCCACTTTGATTATGGCCTTGTCTAAATAAGGTCGGAGTTTGTGAACTCAAGAGGCTTCCATAGTCTTGGCAACTCATGACAAGAGCCTCAGGTGATTACTGACATCATAAACAAGAGCGTCAATTGTTAAATCAACAACAGGAGTCACTGTGCACTTACTCCCCATGTAGGATCTCTGTCCTTAATGTGTTGTACTATGTGAATTAACAGTAAAACTAATATTCAAACAGTACTTTATACTTTGTGTTTCTGTGTGGGTGCAAACTGGTGAAATCTTTACTTAGTACAGAGTTGATCTTCTTTATATAAAGATAGTTAAAAATGAATCTTAATGAAGAATGAGATGGGAGAGGGAGTAGGAGATGGGATGGTTGCGGGTGGGAGGGTGATTATGGGGAGAAAAACCGCTATAATCCAAAAGTTGTACTTTCAAAAATTATATTTATTAAATAAAAGTTAAAAAAGTATCCCTGTTATATTTTATATTGACTATATTTTCTATTATTCTTATATATTGATAATTTTCTAAGTATCCATATGCTATCATTATATTGACATTTTGCTAATTATATTGTATTTTCTATTGATAGAAAAAAACGTGAGAAGGATATAAATTTAATTATTACTAGAAGTTATCATTGAGTAGTAGTATGGAATATTTATTTTGTTCTTAATATCTTTCCATAATTTCTACAAAAATAATACTACTACTTATGACATCTATTATTTAACCAGAAAAAATATTATTTTAAAATGGAAATGTATGTTGTTACTAGTTTCATCATTTATCAATATTAGTTCTTTTATTAACACTATTTCTGGCTCCGTTATTAATCTGTTATTTTTGTGCTTATGCCTATAAACACACAAAATCATTCTGTTCCAGACAGAGAGGATGGTAACGCATAGAGCAGACCATCCGTACTTGGGCATGGTCGTAGTCCATGCATTGCTTTTATAGCAAATGTGTCGTTCAGCAGCAGTTGCCACTGATTATGTGCTTGTTGTGAAGAGATAGACCAGTAGGAGGTGAGCAAGAGTAGAACCACTGGGCTTGGCTCACATGAAAGGGCCTTGCTTCCAACACACACATCCAAACACACAGAAAGTATGCAAGGCTTATGAGAGACAATGTATTCAATAATGGTTTATTTTATTCTTTAGAGTATGGATTTCACTAACAGGGAACATTCAAGGCATACATCTATCAACAAACTGGAATATGAAAATGAAAGGCTTCGAAATGATCTTGCAAAACTTCATGTTAATGGAAAATCGACATGGACGAATCAAAATAGCTATGAAGAAACTGGAAGATACTCCTATCAAGGCCAAATAAAAATGGAAAAAAATGAAGATAGGTATGCCGGTTGCATTATTTAAGGATATAAGTTTAAAAACAATTAAAATTTACTTCTCAAAAATTCAGATTATAACTACACTTTCTCATTGTTTACAATTTATATTATAGTGGTAATGCAGTAGTCTAGAGCATTACTATATTTTAAAAATCTTGTTGTCACTAGCTTTCAAAATATAACAGTGAAATGGGTGGGGTGTGACAGTGGATTTTAGCTCAGCAGTCTCTTCAGGCCATCCTTGGAAGCTGACATGGCATGCAAAATATACAAATAAGTATTCTTAATTAATTTTTTACATCATAGCAACAGAGAAAACTAGATCTTAGTAGGTTAGGTACACTGTTCAAACAAAATAGAAAGTATTGGAAGATGTCACTTCTGATAATATTGACGGTCTAGCTGTGGCAATAAACTGTTGGTCATTGCTTAAGAAAGGAATCTATGGGGCCGGCGCTGCGGCTCACGAGGCTAATCCTCCACCTTGCAGCACCGGCACACCGGGTTCTAGTCCCAGTCAGGGCGCCGGATTCTGTCCCGGTTGCCCCTCTTCCAGGCCAGCTCTCTGCTGTGGCCAGGGAGTGCAGTGGAGGATGGCCCAAGTACTTGGGCCCTGCACCCCATGGGAGACCAGGATAAGTACCTGGCTCCTGCCATCGGATCAGCGCAGTGTGCCGGCCCCGGCGGCCATTGAAGGGTGAACCAACGGCAAAAAAGGAAGACCTTTCTCTCTGCTCTTTCTCTCACTGTCCACTCTGCTTGTCAAAAAATAAAAATAAATAAATAAAATTTAAAAAAAGAAAAAAAAAAGAAAGGAATCTATGACTGTGTAAGAGATTTTCTCTGATTGTATGGAAAATCAATATTTTCTCTCCATATTATTCCTATGCTCTTTAAAATGTCACACTTCCAAGTTTTAAGTAAGTATATCATAAAGTAGGCTAATTTTCTCAATTTTAATAAATCAGGAAATCAAATGTGTCCAACATGGAAAAAGCTCAGAAAAACAGGTAAATCCTTTTCTACAGGGTTTCTCAGACCCATTAATATGCTAATTTACACTGTAAGTTTCCAAGAAGGGGTTTGGTGTATATCATTCCCCAAACTTATTTCATAATCAGATTTCTTAACATTCTGTGATGCAGAGAGGTGGCAAATAGGCTCATACTCAACTTCACTACAACTGTGTTCAGAAGCTCATAATACTTAGCATGAAGAACCTCACATACTGATCTCATATAATAGGATTCATACTTAAGACCTTAGAAAATTTGCTTAACCTTTGTCACCCTCAATTTCCCATTTGAGAAACAGGAAGAATGATTGTGGGATTTTAGTGAGAATTATAAGAGAAAATCTAGGTAACATATTTAGTTCCATAAATGTTAGCCACTATTATGGATATTATTACTAACAAAATTACACCTGTAACAGCACTACTTTTCCAACAACTCACAGTGCCAAGAAAGTATATTTTGGTGAATATGTTAGCAGACACAGGTCTTTTCGCTTGGGGTGTTACCAAATAACCAGGCTCAAGGGCCAGTTGCTCAAAAGAAAGCTCTCCTTACTTTACTTACTTGAAGCAAGTAAAGAGACAGCAGAGTTTTAGTTCCCTACAGAAACTGCCCTCGTGGGAAGCAGCTTGCCGGGGCTTTTTTTGCAAGGGTTAGGGCATGTCGAGAATGTAGAAGAATGGCAGAGCCCTTCCTGCCCGTAACATACATCCAGGATCCACAGAGACAGCGAGAGCGCCCTTCTTGTTCAGGCGACCTGCATCTTCACACATCAAATGTTTAAAAATCTGACTCAAACTGGTTTCTTACAACTCTTCCTATTCATGGTGGTCCGACTCCCTCCAAGTACAATATTGCAAGATAAGCCTTCCTGGACCATCCCCTGAAAAACAAGCTTTGCAAAGTCAACTGTTTCGGATTCTCTGCCCCTGTTCCTGAGCCCCTTTCTTGCCTACATCCTACACTCTTTCTTGCAAATAGACAAATGACTGAATCTAACATCTGCAGAGATAGTCCTGTCGATGACAGTTGCCACTAGGCTCATCTTTGTAACTAAGCTCACTCATTTTATTTTTAAAGATTTATTTTATTTATTTGAAAGACAGAGTTACAGAGAAAGTAGAGACAGAGAAAGAGGGCTTCCAACCTCTGGTTCACTCTCCAAAAGCTTGCAATGGCAGGGGCTCAGTCAATCTGTTGCCAGGAGCCAGGAACTTCTTTCGGGTTTCCCACATGCATGCAGGGGACTCCTCTGCTGCTTTCCCAGACACGTTAGCAGGGAGCTGGATTGGAAGTGGAGCAGATAGGACTTCAACCAATGCCCATATGGGATGCCAGCACTGCACGCTGGAGCCTTAACCTGCTGTGCTGCTGTGCTGCTGTGCCACTGCGACAGCCCCACAGCCTGCCCACTTCTACAGGGAGGTAAGTCCATAGCCCATGGGCCAGTTTAAAATAAATGTCTGCTTGTGGAAGATGGCCCAAGTCCTTGGGCCTCTGCACCTGCATGGGAGACCTGGGAGAAGTTCCTGGCTCCTGGTTTCAGATCGGCACAGCTCTGCCATTGCACACATCTGGGGAGTGAACCAGTGGGTGGAATACGTCTCCCCCTTCCCCCCTTTCTCTGCCTCTCAAATAAAATAAATAAATCTTTTTAAAAAATAAAGAAGAAAGATATGTTTAATAGCTCTCCCCTACTTTCATCATCTCAGCTCTGAATGCATTAGAAGGGTACATTCAACCCCAACGCAAGATACAGCAAGCATTCAAAAGTGCTAAATAACCCTTTCTCAGGTGGTTAAGTAAGACTAGATGCTACTCTGCAAAAGCATCAGTGGCGGCGGTGGTGGCAATAGTATAAAAACAACAATGGGCGGGCGCTGTGGCTCACTAGGCTAATCCTCCGCCTAGCGGCGCCAGCACACCGGGTTCTAGTCCCGGTCGGGGTGCCGGATTCTGTCCCGGTTGCCCCTCTTCCAGGCCAGCCCTCTGCTGTGGCCAGGGAGGGCAGTGGAGGATGGCCCAGGTGCTTGGGCCCTGCACCCCATGGGAGACCAGGAAAAGCACCTGGCTCCTGGCTCCTGCCATCGGATCAGCGCGGTGCGCCGGCCGCAGCGCACCGGCCGCGGCGGCCATTGGAGGGTGAACCAACGGCAAAGGAAGACCTTTCTCTCTGTCTCTCTCTCTCACTGTCCACTCTGCCTGTCAAAAAAAAAACAAAAACAAACAAACAAACAAAAAAAAAACAATGGGAAGATGGAACGGGTCTTTGGGCCACATCCACAGATCTGTTGTCTGGTGAATGTGCCCACATCGCCCAGCTGCTATAACTGAAAACCTGCCCCAAAGGGGTCTAACCTTGATCTTGGTGTAAGAATCTATTTTCTAACATAGAATAAACTCTCTACAAAGTGTTTCCCTTACTATATGACTTCAGTTCTCTGGAGGTCAAGTAATTACCCCCATGTATATAGTTTTTTCATGGTAAAGAGAAAACCAAGTCCCTACAGATACTATAAAGGGTCTTCCTGTACATTTTAGCTGCTGGCCTGTATTGAACACCCTGAGTTGTTTCCTGTTCTTGCTTGTTGGAAATAACTTTGAAGCCTTAGACGAAGGTATCAGGTGGTGCTGTTGAAACAAAAATACAGTTGTAGTATTTTTAAAAGGTATTTTTATTTGGATTGCCTCCATTTTTCTCTTCGGCAGGCAGTACAGAATGTGTTGCAAGTGCCTAACAAAAACAAGACAGTAGGGGACACAACCAGCAACATAAGAGGTAAAGCGCTCAGCAGGAGCTTATCTTAATAAGCAGTTTGGACTGCTATTCCTGCAGCAAAGCCTTGTGTCCTGCCAGTTTCATTTGTGGAAAGTTTCATTAAATTTGTTTTAATGCCTTGTCTGATTTCGGTGTTCTCCAGTGACCTGGTTTTTTAAAAGAAACAGCATTTCAAATGTTCTGAATAAATTATTACCATGTAAAACCCACTATGGGGATGAGTTGTGGACATGCAAGGACACTGTGAACTCACCAGTAGAGAACTGCAAGGCAGATACATCTCTATTAATTTTACCACGTAAAAAATGAAATCTTTCCCACATAGCTCAGTGAGTCAAATAGTGAAAGCTATACATATTTCTCTGACATAAATTAATTGGAAAATATATAAGCCATTTTACATATCAGAAGCTAGTGAAATAAGGTCTTATTAAACTATTTTAGGAAGGAAAAACCTTTTAGGTAAAGGCATATGAAAATAATGTTCCACAAAATAAAGTCCACTGTCTAATTATAAGGGAAATCTTGACTTAATGGAGTAAAATTTATTAAGCATGAGATTATCTTTTATTCAGCCTGAAGCATCTCACTTTTTGTTATTTTTCACTTCTGTTCAAAGTGATAAGTTTTTAATGCTCATTCAGTTAAAATGTGAAGCTTTTCAGGTTATTCTAAAGCATTTGTTTTCCAATAGTACAGTGACTCAACACTTTACAAAACTGTGAGTAAAATATAATCAAATTTGATGAGGGTGTTTTGAATATTGTTCTTAAAAGTTACACTTTTGATGTTTCGGGATAATGTATAAGCTAATTTGGAGCAGTGGTATCCAGAATTATTTATATATAACTAACTTTAATGATAAATCAATTCTACAATAAATAGAGTTTTATTCCTATAGAAGATATATTAAATTGAATTTATGCTTTTAAAAGTTGTGTCATGTTACTGGAAAAATTTTAGTAATCACAAACATTAATCATTAAAGTGGCTTCGGGTCTAGCTAATGAATTATAAGACTGTAATATAGAATGTCAGCAGGATTGTCATAAGCACCCACAGGATGGATCCCTTGCCATCTAGAAGCCATAAGGAAGCTGAGAAAATTTTGTCTGTTGCTCAATAAGGAGCAAAACACAGTAGGCTGAAGAGTGCTGGGTCAGGAAACAGTGAGCAGCTCCCAGAATAGGAGCTATGTGCAGTGTTAGAACGTGAGCCTGGGAAAAGGTGATACAGCATGATATGTGATGGGACCTTGTTCCTGCTAAGGACGTTGTCTGACAGCCCGGGAGAAATTAATGGAAGAACAACATTTGCTGTACAAGTCAGAGCACTCTGAGAACTGTGACACATTGACGCAAATATCAAGTAGATAGATATGGACTCTTCAGGTCCTTCCTACCTACCTAGCAAATTAAGCAGCAGTCTTGGAATAGAGCTTGTGGTAAAGCTAACTGTACAGATCAGCTTGTGAGGGAATATGAAAAGCCTCTGAAATAATTTTCAAGATAGCTTTTAAATTGATATAGGTAACATTTTATGCAAGGTGGTTTTATGAAGTATCTGAATAGCTATATTCTAGAAGAACTTGTCAGATATAAAGATGATTTAAAACAAAAGTACTTTACTCCATAATGTAGTCTTCCCTTTCAATCTCTACATTTTATTGATCTTACAATAATAAAAATGCTCCTATATAAATTTTAGTAATTAATACCATAAAACTATATCTATACAGCCAGAGAAAAATGGATAATTGAGATAATTATTTAGATAATTTAGGACAAATAATACTTTTCCTGAAATCTCTGTATAATTGAGATTACAAAGTTAGATGTGTGTGTGTGTGTGTGTATTTGAACTACTTGTATAATTATTTTTTTCCCTACTGTGCTTTGAAGTATAGAGGGTAGCCTCACTCAAATTAAAAGGCTTGGTTAAAGATCATGTGGAAATGTCCTATGCAATTTTTATTATTCTGTTTGATTTGTGAGATGTTTCATCTCATTGTGCACATCATAAACCATGTTATTTTAGTTTAATTTGCCATTCTGTTTCCATGGTAATTATGGTTTTGGAAAATGGGTAGAAAAAAGATTTATTTCACAATAAATAAAAATGTATAACATGTTGTGTTTGTTTTTATGTACTAATTTACAGATGCCTCACTTAGCTTTTATTGCTATTTGTATGCATAGCTTTGAAAATGTTTCAGTAACAGAAAAAAAAGCCAAGTCTATATAGATTAATTTTTGGACAAGAACAGAGAAAAATTATGTGGACTATTCTAATTACATCAAATTAAAATCTAATCCATAATTATCTGTGGTCAATTTGAATTATTAGCAAAATTAAATAATTTTAAATGGAAGAGATTTTTATGTTTTCATAGTCTCTGATGATCTGATTAAATTTAGACCCCATTTTTTTTCATTAAATATTTAATCTCAAATGGCCTATGCTAAGATAAAAAAATTTTTTATAAAATTTTGGGATAAATTGGTTCATTTCTTTGTTTTATTATTCATTTGTTCAGTCAGCAAATTGAAATTAAAATCTCACTGGTATTCTTTTTTTCACTGTTATTTTCCACCCTCTGTTTTAGCACAAATAACAGATTGCATGCTGTGCCTTTTTTCCAAATTATGGGTTCTGAAGTAAAAAAAAAAAAACCCTGGATTTAAGTCCAAAATCGAAAATTATTACTTCCTAGCAATTACTCGGATTTAGAAAGTAGATTACTCAAAAAATAATTTAAATTTTAAGTCTTAGTTTCCTTATCTATAGATAGTATTCACATTGTTAGGATTATTTTGAAAACCAAATGAGTTTAAAAATAATAATAACAATAATACCTAATCTTTACTGGGTGCTTACTATATGTCGGCTATTGTGTTCAAAGTGTTTTACATGTATTAAATAATTCAAGTCTCATAACAACCCTCTTTTATAAAAGAAAATTAAAGTTACCAAGAGATAAGGTTGACTCTTCAAGATCATGTGACTAAAAGTCAAGATGGTATAAATTGAAAATATTATATACATCATTAAGCTCAGTAGAAATTAGAATTTTTATACAAAGATTTATTTTATCATGAATAAAAAGTATAATTCTATTAAGAAAGCCAGTAAAGTTAAGTGTAACAGAGATTAAAAACAGAGTATCTATCTAAAATATTGAAGGGCATCAATATCAGCTGTTTAATATTTTTCTTAAACCGGCTTCAGATTATTTAATTAAATGGCACAGAGATATAAAAGGAAAACACAGAAGAGGAAGCAACATAGGCAGAATAGCTTTAACAACTATCATGTTTTCTGCTCCACTGTTAATCATTCTAAATCTTTTAAGTAAAGCAAAAATTATTCATTAGGAAAATCTTTTTTAAAAAAATACCCAGATAAAGAACCCAAACATTTGGTTGTGTTTTACTTGTAAGAAGACATCAAGGAAATTAGAATTCTTAGCCACATAAACATGCATGTATCACTGGTAGCAACAATAACAAATATACCTTCTCTTTTAGACTTAGCCAAAACTGTGAGCCAAAGAGAAGTGCAACACCTTCATTACTACCTTTGACTTTTCCAACCAAAGAAATGACAAGCCCTTTGGTTAGCGATGATGAAGTATTCCCACTGGTGAGTTTCTGGTTGTTTGGACTTTTTTTTCCGTTTAATAGGTAATTATTTGTTCTTACATTGATATCAACATACTAGTGTACATAGTAGCTAAAAACAAAACAAAAGTTGCTCCCTGATCTGCAAGTCATTTGACCAAATGATGCAGGAAAAGAAAAAGTCTATTTTGTTTCATGAAGTCTTTTCAGCCCACAGTTATGCATATACTATGAGGTGTGCACCACAATTATAGGTGGTGCTTTTTAAATGTGTAATCTTAGGGACTCATGCCTGTCTGTTCCATGAGCCCTCAAAGATCTGTATATTTTATAGAGCAACAGGTTATCAATATTTTTATTGATCTTGACTTATATAAACATATACACATCCTAAGTGGACAGCTTGATAAATTATTACAAAGGCAGCACATCAGTGTAACTACAACCCAGGTGACAACAGAACAATCACACCTGTCCAATCACTCATGTCCCCCCTACTAGTCTCTACTTCCACTTGCTCCCATCATCCATTTTGCCAATTTGTAAATTTGATAGCAGTAGTATCACATTATATGTCTTATTTTGTGTCTGGCTTCTTTTGTTCAACATTGTCTCTGAGCTTCATCATCAACCATATTGTTTTACATAATTGTAGTCCATTGTGTATTTTTTCCTCTATAGTATGTCATTGTATATAAATACCAGGCACAAGGAAACTAAAATTCATTTATTCCTTCTACTTTTGATAGGAATTTTAGTCATTTCTAATTTGGAGGTATTGCCAAACTTTTCATAATTAAGCCAATGAATATCCTCAAAAATAGTGAATGAAAGTTCTCTTGCTCTCTATTCTTTCAAACACAGGTTACCATGTGTTTTAAATTTCAGCCATGTGGTCAGTGTGTAGCAATATCTTACCATGATTTTAATTCATATGCCTCTGGTGACTAAGGAGCACCTTTTCATAAATTTATTGGCCATTTTGCTATCCTTCTTTGTAAAGTGACTTCTTTGCTTAATTTTCTTTTAGATTGTCTTTATTCTTCTAATTTATAGGATTTTTCATGTATTCTAGATATAAGTCCTTTGTCGGTTTATGTATTGAAAATATCTTCTACTCTTACTTGCTTCTTTTCTTATGGTATCTTTCAATGAACAGAAGTTTCTAATTTTAATATATTCAAGTTTATGACTCTTTTCATTTATGGGTAGTATTTTTGGTGTCCTATTAAAAATTCTTTCCTGTCCCAAGGTTATAAAAATACCCTATGTTATCTTCTAGACACTGTGGTTCTTAACTTTTATATTCAGATATACAATCCAACTGGAATTAATATTAGTATACGATGCAACTTAATATTCTGAGTCCTTTTTTCCTAAGGAAATGTTCAATTAGCTCTGTACCATTTATTCCAGTCCTGTAGATTCCTTTGGATTTTCTATAGTTACCATCAAAATAATGATGGTCTGATTTCTCACTTTCAAACCATTATACCTTTCCCTACTCCTTTTCTTTGCCTAATTGTACTGACTCAGCTCTCCAGTAAACACTGAGGATTAAATATTACTAGTATCTTTCTCTCATTCTAAATCACAAAAAGAACGCTTTCAAAATTTCACCCTTGTGTATGATATTTCCTGTAGATGTTTTATAGATTCCCTTAGAAAGGTTAGAGAAATTACCTTTCATTCCTAAATTGCTGATTTGTTCATAGATAATGCATTTTATCAAATGCTTTTTCTTCCTCTATGAAAACAGCCATATTTTTCTCCTTTGCTCTTTTAAGGTGATACTTTATCTTGATTTCAGATTTTAATCCAACTTTGCATTCTTAGAACAAAACCTCACTTGATCACTGGATTTTTTAGTCCATTAATATTTGGTTTAGAATTTTGCTTTGTGTTCATAAGAGAAATTAGCTATAATTTTCCTTTGCCATCCCTGTCATGTTTTAGTATCAGATTATGGTGTATTCAGAAAATGAGTAGGAAGGGTCCTTAATTTCAATTTTAATATTTTTCAGTTCTTGAATTTTCACTGATTCTTTTAACAGTTTCTACTTCTCTGCTGAAGTGTTCTATTTTGTGATAATTTATTGAATGTAATAATCAGTTTTAAAAACATATGTATTTTTTCCAATTCAGAAAGTACATAAAAATACTTTTAGCAATTACCTTACCTTATATTCAAACTATATTATGTAATGTTTTAGTGCCCATTTGATATTAAGTATTTTTAAAAGTCAAATACAACAATTAAATTAGATGGGAGTATCCCATGAATTCTTTTCTGCTTTTCTGGAATCTGTCACCCTATATTAGTAAGAGCTTGGAAGTAAGGTTGCAACTATTGTGGCAGAAAAAAAGAATTAAAACTTTTAACTTTTGAAGCAAAGGCAGAAACTATCAGGTTTTCTTTAACCCTCAATTCAAAGTTGAGACAGATTTCTGTAACAAAAGACAGATTATAAGAGAAAAAACAAGCAAGCTGAATGCTTGTAGTGCACAGTGTGTGGGCAAAACGATTCAAAAGCAACTCAAGTCAAAAGCAACTCAAAGTAGCGGCTTAGAGTCTGGCTTATATATCCTCTTCCACAAAGAACAATGAATTTTAGAAAAGTGACAAAACAAAGGGAAAGCAGTCCTGGGCTTCCAAAGGCAGAACAGTGGAAAGAAGTACCGTCTGCACCCAGATTGCTCTGTTGTCTCTGAGCTAATAAAAGTTGTAATGAAAAATTTACATCCTGTCCTTAGGAAAGGGGGCACATAAAAAGACCTTCTGTCTTCGTAAATCTCCATCCTTCTCTTGGGCCAACAGAAGGGAAGGCATCCTAATTGTCTTTAGCTCAATAATCCTTCATATCTTGGGAGGCACACTATGGTTTCCCTCAGAAGTTGCAGCAATCTGTAAAGCCCTGAAGTGTTCTTTGTGTACAGCTCAATAAAATGCCAACATTATTTCAACAAAATAAAATTTCAAACCCAGAAAGTAAAGAAACTTCCTCATTTAAGTTATGGGAATCTCTAGGGGAACTTTGTGAATTCTGTACCAACAAAACTTTGCTCTTTAATGACTCAAATTTTAAGCACGAATTCCAGTCAAGCAATACATTTTCACAAAGTGACAAAGCCGCTAACTATTGCATTATTCTAATAGCGGATGGCTCAGGATCTTAGGATCATACTCTAATGTTTGTCATACATCACCTCATCAGAGATACCTGAGCAGCCAACCTATAATAGCATCTCGCTCTTCACTCCCTGTCTCCTGGTCTTGCTTTTTTCCCCCTTTTTACATTGTACTTCACTATGACACATTTTGTTTGCTTCTTCGTTTTCCTAGCTTCCTACAATGTAAAATCCATGAAAACAGAGAATTTTTCTATTTTTGTTTACCATTATAACAACACCTAAAACAGAGCTTGGCACTAACAGGTGCATAAAAGGCATGCAGAAGCATATGTTGATTTAACTTAATGAACAGTGGGTCTCCTACCACTTCTAAAATTATACATTATTCCTTTAAGGAGTTCTTAAACCTTCAGAGTTACAGGGAAAGAAAATCCTTTACTGTTGTAGGGTTGGGCATAGGGAACTTAGTCTGTGCAGGAGGCCTTACATTTCTCTGAGAGACATAGGCCAACTCATTGTTGCGGGTCCAGCAGTTTCCATCCACGGCTCCATTCTGTCTTCCACATCCATACCATTCCTACCATGCCGTCTGTGATTCCTAGTTACTAACTAAATGAACACTTTTAAGTATTTGTCTTATTTAATCCTGTTTTCTTGAAACTCTTCTATTCTCTGTCTTCTGTGACACTGTTCACTGATCTTCAAGCTGCCTTTCTGGCTATTCTTTTCCTGTCTACTTCCAGTGTTCTCCCTCCTACTCCCTCCCCTTACATGTAAGTATTATCATCCATTCTTAAACATGTATGAGTGGTAAGCACACACTGTAAGGCAAGTCCTGTTCTTTTTTAAAAATATTTATTTACTAAGTTATTTGAAAGGCAGAGTAACAGAGAGGGAGGAAGAGATAGAAAAATATTCCAAACATGAGTGCACTCCTAAACTGGCTGTCACAGCCAGGGCTGGGGCAGGCTGAAACCAGGAACAGGAGTCTAGAACTCCTTCCAGGTCTCCCAAGTGGGTGGCAGGGGCCCAAGCATTGGAGCCATCCTCTGCTGCTTTTCTAGGCACATTAGCAGGGAACTGGATCAAAGGGGAGCAGCCAGTACTCCAATAGGTGCTCATATGGGATGCCACTGTGGCAGGCGGTGCTTAACCCCCTGTACCACAACGCCAGTCTCAAGGCAAGTCCTCCTCTAAATGCATCTTCATATGAGACAAGTCTATGATACAGTACAAAAAGAGGGAAACCCCATCAGTGCATGAAAGGATAAATAAATTGTGATATATACATACAATGAAATGTTATTTGGCTACAGAAATGAGTGAAGTATCAGTCTATGCTATACTGTAGATGAACCTCAAAAACATGCTAAGTGAATGAAGCTAGACACAAAACATCATATACTATATGATCCCATTTATATGCAATAGCCAGAATAGGTGCAGTCATAGAATAGAATGGGTGCTGGAGCTTAAAAGGGAAGAGGAAGAAGGGAATGAAATGGGAAAAGTAGTAGTCAGAGGAAGTCCAGATGTACAGGGATAGTAGGCTGAATGATGGAGTTTGGATTTTATTTTAAAACACTGAGAAGCCACTGGGAAGTTTCAAGTAGGAGCATGTATTAGTCCATTTTCTATTACTGTAACAAATACCTGAAGCTTGGTAATTTATAAAGAAAAGAAGTCTATAGGTTTATTTAGCTCACAGTTTTGGAGGCTGAAAGTCCAAACAGCATGGTGCTGGCTCAGGCGAGGGCTCACTTGGCTGATAGCACATCATGGTGAATGGCATGATGGTGGAGTGTGTGAGGAGGGGGAGATCACACGGAATACTAGAAGCCAGCAAGCAACTCAGGGGCCATGCTTGCTCTTTTCCAACAACTTGTTCTTATGAGAACTAACAAAAGCCCCATGAGAACCACCTTAATCCCTTCCAAGGGTAGCAAACCCCAGTGACTCACCTCTTAACGGTCTCTCCATGTCTTAACATTGCCACACTGGGAACCAAGCTTCCAGCAACCATATCAGAGAAAAACAAACCATATCTAAACTGTAGCAGAGGGAATTCATGATCTGTCAACAGTTTTTGTAAAAAACTTTGCTAAATAAAGTATAAATTACAGAGGATTAAGGATGGAAGTGGGGAGAACTATTATAAGGCTATTCCAATATTCCAAGCAAGAAAAGATGGTGATGCTATCTTGGTAGCCTTGGAGATGGAGCAACATGATGGATCCAGGAAATGTTTTAGAGCATAAACCAGACTTAACAATAAATTGGTTATGAGGATTGAGGGGAAAAGAGGGATCTAATATTACTCCTGGGATTTCATCCAGTGCACTGGGTAGGTGGTAGTACCATTTCTGACATGGGAAGGCTAGGGAAGAAACAGAAGAGAAATTAAGATTTCTAGGTTGGACATTTAGGTTTGAAATATTTATTAGATGACCACATGAAGATATTAAGTAGTCAATAGGATTTGTGAAACTGGTATTTAAGTCTATGGAACTGGATAAGAATATTTAAGGCAGTATAAAGGAGAAATTGTCCCAAGACAAAGCATTGGTTCATAACAGTTAGTGGTCCAACGAGAGCTCAAAGAGAAGAGTTTGATAGTGAAAGGAGAAGGGTTCAGGAAAGGACATGGTTCATTTGCAGAAGCAAAGTCATTGAAAAAGTAAGAAGGAACAGGATCCACAGTATAGGTGGAAGGATGAATCTCTGTAATATGGCCACAGTTCTAAATGGATGGGGAGAGATGAGGGAATTCTTCCCTGAGGAGGAGGCCAAGTCAAAGACAATCAATCAGAAAATGAATATATTAGGCAAGTGCAGTAGAATCGCCAGGCAGCGTTAATTGGCAGTTTGGCATCTGTGGTGTTGAATCTTAAAGTGAAACTAGTGCATGTTGTAATGTAATCCTCCCACCCCCAACCTGACTGCTCCAGCATTCAGTTGCTCAGGTCTAGGCATGAGCCAGGCAGATGGGTTAAGCTAATTAGGGCCATATTTTACCCAATAACTAGAATAGAGACAGGATACAGGGAGGAACACGGTGTGGAATGGTTATAATGATGGACATGAAATGCAGGCAGAGTTAGAAAGGAAGGGAGGACGTGAGGAAGACGGTGGATTGGGAAGAGTCCAAATGAAGTCAAAGAAATGCTGGATTAGGAGAGTAAGTAAACTGGAAGGATAATAGGTAGATTGCTTTAAATCTTGATTACTAAATAATGCAGTTATCATTGATGACAACACCAAGAACATGGGCATAGGAGTAAGTACCCAGGGTTCTCTTTTTTAAAATTATTTTTTCTTAATTTATTTGCATAGTTTGGAGGTTTTTAATCTATCTTATGGCTTTAATAGTCATCTATAATGTCCAAATCAGTGCCTCTGATCCAGATGTATCTTCATGTGAGAGACAGACACAAGAGACAGAGAGAGAGAGAGAGAGCATGAGCTCTCATCCACTGCATTACTCCCCTAATGCCCACAATGGCTGCTGGTGGGCCAAGCTGACATCAGGAGCCAGGAACTCAACCCAGATATTTCATGTGGGTGTCAGGGACCAAACCACTTGAGCCATCACCTGCTGCCTCCCAGGGTCTGCATTAGCAAGAAGCTGGAATCGGAAGCCAGAGAACTCAAACCCATGTACTCCAATATGGGACTTGGGTGTCTCAGCCAGCAAATTAACCACTAGGCAAAATAACCACTTCCAGATCTGTCTTCTGAGACCCACTGCCTCCTTGACAGTCTATTCGAGTTCCATGTCACTGAAAACTCTGCATTATGCAAAACCAAATGCATTTTCTTCATTCGTGTACTAATTAAAAATTTTTACTCCAAACACACTCTGGCCCAGCATATGTACTAGAACCACTCAGATCCCCCTGCCGCCACAATGCTCACTGCACCCAGGCAGAGCCTTGAGATTCTGGTTGGTCAGAATTTCTGGGAAAACTTCTAAGAAATGAGTTAATGGGGGCTGCAATTGATCCCAAGGCCTTAAATGATGCTTCTCATTTCCTCACCCCTGTCAAATTCTTTCCCATTCAGCTAGCACTTCTGCTGGTCCAGATGGCTTCCCTTTAGGGCAACCCCTGGATACCATGGCCTTAACAGGATGTGAGTTCCGTATTTGCCTTTTATAGTAAAAGCTGGGCACAAGAGTAAAATGATCATCTAGCACCAAGCACATTCCTCAATGCCTCCACTGTACAGTAACATTCTTACAGCTTCATGGTGATTAGGGCCTGTCACCTCTTCCAGGACAGTGACTACACCCTGTGCTTCTGATCTGATGGCACAAGGAGCTCAAACTGACCAATGGCAGCCAGAGCTTTAAGTGCAATGGGACTCTTACCTGTCTCTGAGACTCAGGACTGGAAGACCAACCAACCCTAAAGGTACAGAGCCAGAAAGCACAGATTGCACAGAAGGATAGAGAATAAAGCCAGTCCTACTTCCTTTCTATCTGTAAGAAGCAAAGCACCTTATGACAGGTGTAAAGTCCATACCACATACTGAAGAACTGTACCCCAGCCTCAGAGGATAAACTCTCCAAGTGGTACCTCAGCTGTGTCTTCAAGAGGCTATTGCAAAGCATGCTAGCACCCTCTGGATGGTGCTGTGTGTAGCTAGGACCAAAGGATACTATGGTCATAACACCAGACCAATACCTTACTCTTCTTTACTATTAAGCAGGATTCCAAGGCAGCAGATTAGTCACTCCTTGAGCCTTCAGACAGTAGTGCTGGCCAGTCCCTTCAGGAAGGAAAGGCAAACCTACAGAATACAAGTCAATTCTAGTAAATACAAAACATTGCCCTTTCCAAGGTATAAAGGACATGATCTCATCAAATTACCACCAAAGTGCTGATTGGTCTTCTTGAGGGATGGTGCTGCATCAAGAGCTCATCTTTAGTTTCTATAACAAGCAGGTAGGACATGCAGTAGTAGCTAGATTACACGTGGTGAAAGGGAGACCATGCTATTAGGCCCATACGAAATATCCACTAGGGTGAGTAGATCAAGTCATCCTGTCCACTTGCTAGATGCTCTGTCTCAACCAGGACTGAATGGCAGAACAGAAACTGCTTTTCCAGATGGCATGGCCTTGCTTCAGAATCCTAAGGTTCTACAACATAACTTTCACAGTGAGCCTTGCCACAGGCTCCTCAAGGCATTCTTCTCCAACAGAGATTCTTCTAATATGGGATCTGCCAAGCCACTTGACCCAAGTAAAAGAATCTCTTTTACTCTATCCTGAACCTACTCTAGAGTCCTTTCTTGTTCAAACAAACAAAAGCAGCCTTCTGTATCACTCAATGAATAGTCAGATTAGTCTACCCAAAGGTGGAGTATTTTCAAGATGCATTAATTTTTGCTGTACTTAAGGTATTCTAACATGGCCCATGCTACTAGACACCAAAAACAACGTGACAAGTCCCTGAATCTTTTGTGGGTTAATCTTTCACCCTTTGGAGTATTTGCATATTTCCAAACCTTCGATATACTTGCTATTTCTTGCTCATCAGATCTTAGTAACATGATGCTAGTGTTAATATATCATATTCTATGTAATAGTCCTTGAAATGTCCAGGTAGTCCAGGCCCCTTCAGAATTTATTGTGACAGCATCATTAAGATAATGTAGGAGCAAGACCATGCATGTGTACTGTTGTCCTTCTCCTGTGAATGCCATTTCTGAGCTGTCTTTTTATTGAGTACTAAAAAGAATGCTTTTGCCAGATCAATAGCCAGACACCATGTACCCAAGGTTATTATTATTAGGTTTTATATATGAAGATACCACATCTGGCACAGTACCTACAGCTGGGGCTACTACTCAGATAAATTTGCAGTACTCCACTATCATATGTCATGATCCCTAGTTTTGTCAGGAGCCAGACTGGTGACCTAAATCCCCCTTTAACAAGGTTCCTCCTACACCAATTGTTGGCTCTTCAAACACTTCACAAAGTCAGATTATCCCTAACATAACAAAAATGAAAGAAAAATACAAGGACCACAGAACTAGATAATTAAAGTATTAATTTCCCCTACCTTTTAAAAAATCAACTGTCTTTGCCTTTTTCAATGAATAACAACAAAATTAATCTAATATTGCCCTTTATTCCTTAGCACAGATGTTATTTTTTGTAAATATACACTCAACAGGTAGCAAACAGTTAAATTGCTTTTTCATATCACCAAGAAGGATGGAACTTCCCAGCTATAATGGACTTGCCAGCCATGTCCCCACATCATAGCCTGCTCCACTATGGCAACACTTTCATCCCTGGGAGAATCATACAGTCAGCCCTCCTCACCCGGCTAACTCCAAGTACCAATTAGCCCCATTCCTACACCAATCCTTAACTTTTCTTTTTGTTTGTTTGTTTATAAGCCTTCTTTATCCAAGTCTACTGTAATCTTTAGCTTTTGTGAACTGCCTGCTTTCAGATGAGAAGCATTGGCTTTGCAAATTCATACAGCATGTTTTAGGCAGATTCTATGGTGATTACATTGTGCTGCAATTGCGATTGAACACTACAATGTCCATTTCTAGAACTTCTTAATGTAATGGTGCTGTGATATCTTCCTTAGTTCCTTGAGGATTTCATTAGCATTATACAATAGGAGTTCAGCTCGAGACATACAATTTAGTTAAGAGTGGTGGTGTTTGACAGTATGTCAGGGATAAAGCCTGGAGACAGGAAGATTTAAGAGGGCTCTGTGTTCCTCATCTCATTTTTCCTTCTCTGTTTAGTCTCCCCCAGATATGTCCTTCCCAGCTTCTTTGGCTGCACAACATTTCCTTCTGGAAGAAGAGAAGCGAGCAAAAGAACTTGAGAAACTTCTAAATACACATATCGATGAACTGCAAAGACACACAGAATTTACTCTTAATAAATACACCAAGCTAAAACAAAATAGACACATATGAGCTTTTAAACTTTTTCATTTGCTTCCGCCACCCCAAGGAAAGAAAAGCTCGGACAAAATATTTACAAAGATGATTCATGAAACTAAGAAATTGTGTTGTTTTCTTGAGTAAATAGCTTCTGTAAGGTGGCTAGACAATAGTATTTTGTTCAAAAGCTGTTTGTATTTCTGCATTAACATACTAAATTGTTCTGCTGTAGAGTTACTATAAAATAAACATGACTACTCCAAAAGAGATTGTTTTCCAGCCTAAGGAATATGTTGGAATTACATATACAATTTTTCCCACTTGAATCATGTATGCTAAACCCATTTCCTCTGCAGCAATGCAAATTGAGAGAAAGAGAAGTGTTGTATTCCAAATACAGATCAATCAAGTGCAGTTCAGTTGTACTTGATTGGAAAGTTCATGGATTTTTAAAGATGAAAAAATAGTTAAATGTTTTGAGCTATGTAGACATCCCAGGATTTTTTTGTTGGGAAAAAATATATATATAGTTCTACTGTTTTTACATTCACCTATGTAATGTCTCTGTTTTAACACAATAAAGTACATGGAATGTGAAATTTACAAACTTCAAGTATATGTGCCAAAGATTAATGCTTTCCTATTGGTACTAATTATTTCATGGACATGAAAAGATAAATAAAATATAAAAATTAGTGTTGTAGCATTCTCCTTGGTAATCACCTCTGTTTCTGGTACAATAAAGGAATGCAAACTGAATGGAATTAGAACATAAATGCCAAATCTATATGGACCAAGAATAGTTTAATAGTGAAGAATAAAATTCAAGTTAAACATACACAAGAATTGGGGAGAGTTTTTGGGTACAGTGGGTTAAATTTCTTGGGATACTTGCATTCCTTATAGGAGTGCATGGTTGAGTTCTGGCTACTCTGCACTTCCAATCCAGCTTCCTGCTAACATGCCTGGGAGGCGACGGATGATGGCCCAAACACTTGGGTTCCTCCCACATACGTGGGAGACCCAGATTGAGTTCCTGGCTCAGCCCAGCTCATCTCTGGCTGTTATGGCATTTGAGAAGTGAACCAGTAGATGGAAGATATCTCTCTTTTTGTCTCTCCATCTTTGTCACTCTGCCTGCATTGCAAGTAAATAAATCATTTTTAAAAAAATACATGAGGGGGACTGGTGCTGTGACATAGCCGGTGAAGCCTTGGCCTGAAGTGCCAGCATCCCGTATGGATGCTGGTTCGAGTCCCGGCTGTTCCACTTCCAATCCAGCCCTCTGCTATGGCCTGGGAAAGCAGCAGAAGATGGCCCAAGTCCTTGGGCCCCTGCACCCACGTGGGAGACCCAGAAGAAGCTCCTGGCTCCTGGTTTCAGATTGGCGCAGCTCCAGCCATTGGAGCCAATTGGGGAATGAACCAGTGGATAGAAAACTTTCTCTCTCTCTCTCTCTGCCTCTGCCTCTCTGTAACTCTGCCTTTCAAATAAATAAATAAATCTCTAAAAAATAAAAAATACACAAGGGGGGCAGGTGCTGTGATGTAGCGGGTAAAGCCACTGCCTACAGTGCTGGCAACCTATATGGGTGCAGGTTCGAGACCTGGCTGCTCCACTTCCAATCCAGCTCTCTGCTATGGCCTGGGAAAGCAGTGGAAGATGGCCCAAGTGCTTCCCGCATGGGAAACACAGAAGAAGCTCCCAGCTCCTGGCTTTGGATCGGCGCAGCTCTGGCCGTTGCAGCCAACTGGGGAGTGAATCAGCGGACAGAAGATTCATATTCTCTCTCTCTCCCTCTCTCTCTCTTCTCTCTGCCTCTGCCTCTCTGTAATTCTGCCTTTCAAATAATAAATAAATTAAAAAAATACACAAGAAGGGCCAGCACTGTGGCATAGCAGGTAAAACCACCACCTTCAGTGCCAGCATCCCGTATGGGCACCAGTTTAGTTTAAGTGCTGACTGCTCCATTTCCAACCCAGCTCTCTGCTATGGCCTAAGAAAACAGCAGAAGATGGCCCAAGCCCTGAGGCCCCTATATCTGCATGGGAGACCCAAAAGAAGCTCCAGGCTTCTGGCTTCAGAGCAGCCCAGCTCCAATCATTGTGGTCATTTGGTGAGTAAACCAGCTGATGGAAGACCTCTGTCTCTCCCTCCCTCTCTCTCTGCTTCTGCCTTTCTGTAAACTGTGCCTTTCAAATAAATAAATAAATCTTAAAAAAAATACACAATGGGGCCAGCACTGTGACATAGCGGGTAAAGCCACCACCTGCAGTGCCAGCATCCCATATGGGCACCAGTTTGAGTCTCGGCTGCTCCATTCCCGATCCAGCTCTCTGCTATGTTCTGGGAAAGCAATGGAAGATGGCCCAAGTGCTTGGGCCCCTGCACCCACATGGTAGACCTGGAAGAATCTCCAGACTCCTAGCTGGGGACCAGCCCAGCTCCAGCCACTGAGGCCATTTGGGGAGAGAACCAGTTATGGAAGACATTCTCTCTCTCTCAATCTCTCTCTCTTTCTCTCTCTCTGCGCCTCTCTGTAACTCTGCCTTTCAAATAAATAAATAAATCTTTTAAAAAATACACAAGAATGACAATCTAATATCCTTTCTTTAAAAAATAACATAGATATCTATATCGAGAGAGAGAGAGAAACAGTAAAATACTCAAGTTCCTAGCTTTTATAGTTTTCTATTTCTCTTTAAAGAAACAATCGCAACATACTGAAAGATAAGTCAAAATGTCTTTGGATAATAAGAGTCATTTTCATGTAGAAATGCAGAGCATTATTCACTGTGACACAACCGCATGTATTTGTATGGTTCTTTATGTTTGCAGAAAGCCTTGCTTTTAGTTTGGACTGCTAGAACAGAAATATCGTAGCTGGAGTGGCTGCAACAGCAAGCATTCATGTCTCAGTTCAGAGGGTGGCAAGTCTCAGACCAAGGTGCCAGCTGACCCAGTGTCTGGTAAACTCTACATCCTCATTAGTGGACAGCAACTTCTCACTATATCCTCACGTGGCAGGAAGAAAAAGCCCTCTCTTGTGTCTCTTCACCAAAGGACACCAGTCACGTTCACGAGGGCTTCCCAGTTCATGACCTTTTCACTTTTTTTTTTTTTTTTTTTTTGACAGACAGAGTTAGCCAGTGAGAGAGAGAGAGAGACAGAGAGAAAGGTCTTCCTTTTCCATTGGTTCACCTCCCAAATGGCTGCTACAGCCAGCGCTCAGCACGCCAAACCCAAGCCAGGAACCAGGTGCTTCCTCCTGGTCTCCCATGGGGTGCAGGGCCCAAGCACTTGGGCCATCCTCCACTGCACTCCCGGGCCACAGCAGAGAGCTGGACTGGAAGAGGAGCAACCGGGACAGAATCCAGCGCCCCAACCAGGACTAGAACCCAGGGTGCCGGCGCCACAGGCAGAGGATTAGCCAAGTGAGCCAGGCGCCGGCCAACCTTTTCACTTTCTAAGCCCTATCTCCTAATCACGTCATGTGGAGGCTTGGGCTTTCAACCTGTGAATTTTGAGGGGATGCAAACATTCAGTCTACAACACCTTCACCTAGAATTATTTACTTAAGCTTAAAACAAGTCTATGAAGTCAGCAAGGCTAGTATCCTCTTTCCAAGGTGTCAGAGTGCTTAAGAAACTTTCTCAGAATCCTGGTAAGCAGGAGAGTCAGAAAGAACACCTGTGGCCTTCTGATTCTCTCTCTCTCAATCTCTCTCTCTCTCTCTCTCTTTGCCTTTCAAATAAATAAATAAATCTTTTAAAAAATACATAAGAATGACAATCTAATATTCTTTCTTTAAAAAATAACATAGATATCTATATCAAGAGAGAGAGAGAAAAACAGTAAAATACTCAAGTTCCTAGCTCTTCTCACTTTCTGGTATATCCCTTCCTGGAAGCAAGCAGATGAAGAACACAGTCACATTCTTGGAAGCCACTAACGACAAACCCTCAGAAGGGTGAACAGCCTTTAGTGTACCCACAAAAGCCCCACACAGGAGAATAATACAAGTTACAATCCTTTCGAATTATTTAGTGATTTCCAGTCAGGACATGAGGAAAATAAATATTTTTCAGTGTATAGAATATGGGAAGAAAAAGTATGTTTAGGAAAAGTTCTACAGTCTTCGTATTCCTAGTATAAACACAAACTGAAAAAGTTTAAATATACATACCTTTATGAGCCTATAAATTGAAATGCCATTTCATTCTCTTCGGGGTAAAGGCACAATTAAAAATTGTTGACTGAAGTAAAGATCCAGGTCACAATGTTCTTAGAACTTAGCAGAGTCAAAAGAGCATATGATGAATTTGCCCCTAGAGATTATTCAACTCCATAAGCAAACATCTTCTAAATCATTAGTTCAGCATTCCACTTAACACCAGCTTTCTTAAAACAATGGTTTCAGGGCTGGCATAGTGGCATAGCAGGTAAAGTCACTGCCTACAAGGCCAGCATCCCATATGGGCACTGGTTCCAGTCCCACCAGCTCCAATTCTGACCCAGCTCCCTCTAGTGTGCCTGGGAAACCAGTGGAAGATAGCCTAAGTACTTGGGCTCTTGCACCCACATGGGAGACCCACAAGAAGGTCCTAGCTCCCATCTTCAGTCTGGCCCAGGCCTGCCCACTGCAGCCATTTGGGGAGTGAATCAGCTGATGAAAGATCCCTGCGTCTCCTTCCCTCTCTCTGTAACTCTATCTTACAAATGAATAAAATAAATCTTAAAAAAAAAAAAAAAAAGAAGAAGTCAAATAGCTAAGTCGCACACCTAAAAAAGGCATATAGCATTAAAAAAAAAAACACTGGTTTTCAATATTTTTGCTTAACAGCAGGAATCAGTATTCAAAAGAAATCGTATGTGGAAGTCATATTATATACTTAATCAAGATATAAAGCAGCAGCTCTGGTTGAGTGCTGAAAGGGTAGAGGGAGGCCCACCCACAGTTCAACCTCTCTCTACTCCTCTCTCCTACCCCCCGCCCACCACAGGGCAAAGGGACTCCAGGATCAGTAGCCCAGATGTTGCAGGAGGGACTGACAGAGAAGTAGATGTGCTCGGTCATTACCTTAGCAGACGTGTGTTTTCCTACAGAAATCTTAGCGTAGTTTATGGTGATAATCTCCTCCACACTACAAAAGCCAATTTAGCAAGATTTCAAACAGAGAAGCCTTCAGGAAATCCTCAGAGCTACTTAGCTAGCCCCAGGACTAGACTCAGAATTTTCAGATCTACAGGTTCTCAACACATGAAGA